ACATAAAATGAAAGAAAACAAAGACCACCCAAAGGGGCCACAAAAGAAGCCGGTAAACCACGCAAGGTAGTTGCCAGACAAAGGAGCACGATTGACCGGCTCCAACATGTTCGTGAAGCCAAAGGGCTTCTAAGCACCAAAAACAAAAAAAAAAAACAAAAAAAAAAAAAAGGCTTCTAAGCACCAAAACTTGAGATCTAGGGAGGGTTATTGTCAGAAGCAGGAGGTTCTAGAGTAGAGAAAGGACAGTTATTTTTGTCATGTTGTGCTATTTGAGGTAGTTTAGATTACATAATATATTTCGTTAATATTAAATTTAAAAAGTAAACGAGGAAGAAAGGTCAGATTTATTTTGATGGGCTCTAAAATTCTTGACTACTGATCAAGTGAGCCGGCCTCGATTAAGGCTAAGCATCGGGTATGGTATATCTTATATTTGTAGCCTCATGACTTGTTTGTGTATGTATTTTACTTGTATTTGTGAAAAGATAGTTAAATATTAAGTATGAAAAATATATATATGTTAAGTATTAAATTATGGGGTATTTATTGGACATGAGGATTAATACTTGCATATCTAACTTGTATACTTGACATACATACTTGATTTGTATGTCTGACCCATGTACTTGATATCAGGGGCAAAACTAGGAATTTTAGTTAGGGGGGCTGGATTTTCAAACTTTGAATAATACATTATAATTTTAAAAACTTACTTTATATCACAAACTAAAATAATACTCGACGGGTTTTTATATAACAAAATCTATCCATGATAGAGTTTACACTAAATGTCTGAACTATTTCCTCTTTAATATAAATAATCAAAAAGTTTGAAAAGAATTCATCGTCTATTTTATTGCAAAGTTTTGTTTTCATAATTTTCATGGCAAAAAATGTTCTTTTTGTTGTTGCCGTAGAAATTGGAAGAGTGAGTACCAAAGTAATTAATTTGTAAATGAGATTATATACCTTCAATTTTCATGTCTCCACAAGTCATTGATATAACTCAAAAATATTTGACAAATTCTAAAAACCCTAATCATAACTTGTTTCAATCTCATAATGTTCAAACTCTTATATCAAATGAAGTTTCTCCATCCCCGAAAAATCCTGAAGATAATATTTTTCTACAAACTCACAAATATGATCAATATTGAAACCTTGCAATTGCTTTTCTCTATATCTAAGGTTTTTTCTTTTAGTGAATTCATATACATTCCCTTTAAAGATCTAATACCTTTTTTTTTTCAATTTTTTTACTCCGATTCTATATTACTATTCCATATAACATCTATTACTTCAATATTCTACAACAAAAATTATGAATAGATGTTTTGACGATGTAGGCCCACTAAACTGGAAAATGGAGGAAAATAAAAGAACTTGTAAAAGAGCTGAGCTCAAAAGCTCTGTAATCCAACCCAGCAATGGCGGCACTCTCATCTCAGCACAACCTCTCAGCTACACTCTCCGTCCTTTATCTCCCTCGCCTTCATCCCATCCCATCCGTACCCTTCCTCGCATCACCTGCTCCCTCTCCTCCTCTTCAACAGAATCCAACATCTCATTCTCCCTTTCTAAAGAGGGGTGAGCATTTTCAGGTAGAGGTAGAGTATAAGGTATATTTGATACTTAAAAATTTTTAGGTATAACTTTGTAAATTTAGTACTTATTTAAATACTTATAGCTTTGTACTTCGCATTTAACCTCATAGGTACGAAGTAATTTACAGGTATATATTTATGTACTTGTTGAATGATATTATATTATGTATTTTTTTCAAATTAAAATTTAATAAAATATTACTTACTTTCAATCTAAACTTAAATAAAATTAATAAACTTTTAATAATATATTATTTATTATAATTTAAACTTAAATATAATCTAAAATAATAATAGAGAATTAAAATTTGGCTTCGTGTCTAGAATTCAAATCTATGTACTATTAAAAAACTAGACTCAATTAAATAATTAACAATAATGAATGAAAAATATGTACTAAAAAATAAAAAATAAAAAAAAATTAAATAATAGAATAAAAATCCTTCAAATAATATGTTTAGGTTTTTAAACTCAGAGTTCCATTGATCCTTTACTTTAGTTTGTTAGAAAGAGATAATTATTAATGATATTGTATTTATTTTAATATTTTAATGTTCATACTTTTAACTTATTATTTGTTATTATGTTAATTTTGGAGTTTAAAACTAAAAAATCATTTATACAATAAACAAAAACTATAACTCAAAAATTAC